TGGCCTAATCTCTGAGGGAGGATAGGTGTTGGACAGGATATTATTGAACAAGGGGTCTTAACAGAAATGGAGGTACCATGAGCGTGCCAGGCACCTGTGCTGAAATGGAGGCCAAAAAACACAGGTACATTGGGGTGTACATATGTATACATGGTGAGCAGTTGGGTCTATGCAGTGAAGTCACTTTTGAGGCTTATTTGTAGCTCCTTTTCCCTATTTATTAACCAACTGAATTCTAGGCTTCTGACATCTTCACACAGCCATGAGGTCAGACTGGGATGGAAGGCTGAACACTTATTCAATTAGCAAATACTGGTGGAAGGCATAAGGGATTGTCTACTGGCTGATGATCTACACAGGAAACATTTTAAGAAGTTCATGGCTGAGTCTTGGGCATGTGCATATGTACTGTAGATTCTCAACTGGAATTCCACACCCATAAGTTCCCCTCCTGTGAAATAATTAGAGTTAGGTATTGCCATAGGGGGTGGGGGAGCACTAGTGAAGAATGCCTAATTGTGGTAGTAAAGTTTTGGGATTAAAAAAGTATTTATTTATTTAAGAAGCATTTTTTTAAAATATGAATTTTTATTATTTTCAAATAACATAGTATAGAACTTAGTTGATATGATCTGGTTAAGTGAGTTCTACTAGCATAAGCTAAAAACACTGCTTATAGTTATGGGTAGAATTTCATGAGTGGAAATACTTAAGGATTAGGGTTGTCAGGCAGCTTGTATATATAGGACAAGTCTTGTCTATTAATGGACAAAACTTAATGATTCTCTCCTGCTTCCTGAATTGGCTTTCTCAAAACACCCTAACTGTCCTGTGTTCTTCTTTTTTCCAATGAATTATATAAGTTCAGCAGTTAGTACTGTTTGTCAAATTACCTGGACATCCAATAGCTTTATTTGCTAAATTTGGTGATCCTGTTAAGGAGTCATTATAACCCCTATAACCTTCCTTGCTTTGACCAACTTTTTAACTTTGCCAAGACAAATGGTCACCTAGCTCAGTGGGCACTGTCTGTCTCAGGAATTTCCTAACACTTAAGGACAATCTCCCTTCAAATTTGTTTTTTTTT